AAGAGCATGGAGTGTGTGGTGTGGAGGGTGCGCGCTATTGGGTCGCTCCGTTCACATTATTGCTGCCAGAGATGTGACTCTTTTATAAAGGGTAGCGCAACCAGGCGCACAGCACAGATTCGGTTTTTCCCGTTGTGTTGTTCTTTTTTTTTTTTTTCGATATGGGTGGGGGCATAAAAGAATAGTTCTACGGAAAATTTTCCCATAAGACGTGTCGTTAAATTACAATTTAAAATTGTAACACTACAAGTATCACGTTTCGTCTTGTGGTTCTCCGTCAAACATTAATAGGGGGTCGTAAATTTACAACACATTTCGTATTGTAAACCCAAAAATATCTTGCGAGGATAATATTTTTTGTCGGTGTGTTTTTTGAAGACTTTTTTCAGTCATTATTTGATACTGAGTCTCTTTTTAAAAGGCAGTTTTAAAGTATGCGAGGTGGAATGCGGTGAACATTTCCTCTCGTTTTGGCGACTCGCGAGTAAAATGGCGCTGCAGTAACCCTGCAGGGCTGGGGCCGGGCTGCGCGCCAGGCGATGCTGGGGCGATGGAAAGGTTGGCAAAGTTTGACGCGCTTGGCGAGAAGAAGGAGAGGGAGAGAGAGAGAAAGGAGAGGTTTTCTCGCGAAAGAAGTAAGTGGTGCGGAGTAGAGTGGGTGCGGCTGGGAGTAGGCGACGTGGAGTGCAACTGTGTTGCATTTCAAAGAGTGGAGCGAAGTGGAGGCCTCGGCGCCTGCGGCTTCGCTCGCGGCCTCGCCCGCGGCCTTCTCCTTCCCCCCCTCTTCCTGGACTCGCCCCGCCCGGTCAGCATTTTAATCCCACCCTATCGCCAAAAGCTGTGGGGGAACCACAGCAATCCTCTCTCTCCCTTTTTTACCCCCCGTCTCAGCACTATTTTTTTTAATGCCCCATGCTTGGCTGCGGTCCTCTATTACGGCTCCACTACAGCTCACTCTCTGAAAGAGTCTTTGTCGGGCCGTTCTCGCCGTGAGCGTATTTCAGAGAAAGGCGGTTCGGCTGCGCATGGTTGGTGCACGTTGGGGTTTACGCTTTTCTTGTCGGTGTGCGGGATTCGGCCCGAATTATGATGCTTTACGTCGGTTGACGTTCCAGCGTCCTGAACGCGCGGGCGCGGTCTCTGTTGCAGAACTGGCAGCTGGTGAACACGGCCGTGCTGACGGCCCGGCAGATCTCCCAGGCCATGAAGGTGTTCATCGTGAGCCAGGCCGGGCGCGTGGCGGACGTGACGCTGCAGTCGTCGTGCAAGACGGAGGACGACAGCGTGCTCAAGGTGTCGTCGTCGTGCACCTCGGTGTACGTGGACGGCTCCGAGATCCGCGGCTCCAGCAACGGCACCGTGCTCGTCAAGTACGGCACCTACACCGGCATGGCGCGCTTCACCGTCTGGATGCCCGTCTTCCCCCTGGAGGTGGCCGTGCAGGACTACCGCCTGTCGCAGATCAAGGGCTGGCGCGTCCCCGACCCGGACGCCAAGTAAGACAGCAGACGACAAGACCTTTTGCGGCGGATGCCATTATTGTTCATATTTAAACTGTCGCGTCACTTTATAATAAAAACTTTCTTTGTCCCCTTCTCAGCCCCGCTAAGTCCAAGCGCTCTACTGGTGACGACGTCGACTCGTGGGACCACTCAGCCGCCGCGGCCGCGGCCGGCATGGTGGTGGAGGACGTACACAACAGCCTGGAGCACGACCGGGAGCGCCAGTCCACCTGCCGCGCGCGCTTCCAGCAGAGCCCCGTCGAGGTGAGTCTGAAAAGGAAACGGAAAATGTGTTTGTGTCTTCATTTACTTCATTTACACAGTCATTCACACATTTATGCCGTCACAAAGGCATACCGCCACAAACACATACTGCCACAAACACGTACATACCGTCAAAAACACATACCGCCACAAACACATACTGTCACAAACACGTACATACCGTCACAAACACGTACATACCGTCACAGTATTGGCACCCGCTAACTGCTCGTCACCCTCCCTCCCGCAGGTGTACGCGCGCTTCAAGGCGGAGGACCACGACTCTGGGCGGGAGAGCTACTTCGTGTCGAGGCGCACGCTGCTGCTCGTCACCGACCTGGTGCAGGGTTACATGCGCGTGTCCGACCCGCGCATCGCCACCCTGTACGGCCGGGTGGTGCAGGGCCGCACGAGCGGGCGCACCGAGGTCCAGGTGAGTCTCCCCGGGCGCCACCGCACCCGCGGCCTCCAGCAGACTTCACTCCGTGACGACATGCTGACGACGGCCGTCCTGGTTGCAGGTGCTGTCGCCCATCACGGGTCGCGTGATCGGTTCCAAGGAGGTCCGCGTCGTGACGGACAAGGTGAGCGTGAGCAGGATGCTGGTCCGGGTCGTGTCCGGGCTGCAGCTCTCCATCACGGCGGACTCGGCCATCGAGAACGGCTACGTGGCGGAGACCTCCGTCACTCGCAAGCTGACGGCCCAGTACCAGGTGAGCAGCAGACAGACACCTTCGCAAAGTCTCTCGTCGATCCAGCCAAAAGACTCGTCGATTGGACGTCGGCATGTTTCTGACCTCGCCTGTTTGCAGGAGGGGCTGCTAGACATTGACATCGAGTTCTCGGACGGCACGCGGACGCCGCTGCGCGAGGTGGCCGTCAGCGACTACCACCTCATGGTGGAGAGCCTGGCGCCGGACATCGTGGCCTTCGCGCCGATGATGGCGTCGCCGCACCCGCGGGTGATCGCGGTGCGCCAGGGCCGCGGCGACCTGCTCAAGGTGACGCTGCTGCCGGCCGAGGTGTGCCGGGGCGTGATGCGCCGCGCCAAGCCCAAGTCCATCACGAGCCACGTGCCGCTGGCGGTCGCCACGGCGCAGGTCGAGGTCAACTTCGCGTCGAGCGACGTCGCGCAGCGGCCCGAGTTCGTCCAGAACGACGGCGGCGGCATGGCGGGCTCGGGTGGCAAGGACCGCAAGGGCGGCCGCGACATGCCCGACCTGCAGGACATTCTCATCGGTTCGTGCTTGCACTCAGTCTGCCTTTGTCGAGCTCGCTCGCAGTGTCCCTCGGTGTCTTAACGCTGCTCTCTCTGCAGGCATCCCGCTCAAAGACGAGAACAACCACGAGCCCACGGTGCAGGCGCGGCAGCACTCGTCCAACGGCGGCGGCGTCCTCATGACGGGCCTCGGCAAGACGGCCGTCGTGGCGTCCGGCCCGCGGCACCACGGCAACGTGCACACCACGCCGCTCGAGATCGGCATGTACGTGCTGCTGGCCGCCTTCTGCTTCGCCATCGTCGTGTTCGTCGTGTCGTGCGTCGTGTACGCGTCCAAGTTCAGCCCGCAGCAGCCCCTGGACCAGCTGGCGCAGACGGCGCCCCAGGTACGCAGAGCGACCCCCCGTAGCCCCCGCACCCGGGTCGCGGACGACGCGCTGGTCGCGGCTTCTCACGGCCCTGCTGTGGCGTTGCAGGGCGTGGGCGGCGCGCTCGGCCGGCCCCAGGGCGTGGCCGGCATGACCGGCATGGGGGTGGCCATGGTGAAGAGGCAGCTGCAGCCGCAGTCCAGGGACTCCACCACCAACGTGCACGACTGGGTGTGGCTCGGCAGGGCCACCCTGGAGCGCGGCTCCGTCGCCGGCCACCCCGTCCCCGCCTCGGCCACCACCAACTCGAGCGCGCGCTCCGGGCCCCCGCTCAACATCAACAGCCCGGTGAGTGTCGGCGACACAAACGCATTCAATGAAAATAAAAGAACATTTTGTGCCAGAAAAGGTTCCTTGGGGTTAAACGTGTATCGTCAAGGGAGTAAATTGGACCAGCGACCATATCGAAGGAAAGTCTTCGCAGTAATGATATGGGGCAATCTTGTGCCTTTACCTTTCTGGGGACGAAACTAACCCATCCTATTTTGAATGACAGTGCTACACTCACTGTGTATACCTCGTTTTTATTGTCACCCCCTAATCACGGCCGTGGTTCTCTTGCTGTAGGTGATACATATCACTACCAACCCCAACTATGCGGATCCTACCGATGTGACGGAGGAAATGGAGTTGGCTATTGCCGAGTGCCTCAGCGTGCCGGAGAGGGTTGTCAACGCTGAGCCCGTCGTGTCCGCACGCATCGATAGTTCCACATATTGCAAAAAGGACCGCGACAAAGACAGATCTCGCGACAAAGAACGACGTGGAGAGAAGCGTCACCACCATCACCGAGGGCACAAGTCATCCCAGGAGATCAACCCGGATGGCTGGAAGCTGTAAGTCTGGCTTATCACCACCGCCAGGTGAAAAAATTCACTTTAACACGTTCAGTGCCAGGCCATTTTTAATTTAAAAAGTGTCCGACCTCACGGTGGTCGTGCGGCACAAGGGTGCCAAAAAGTGAACGACCTCTGGTGTGGTCGTGTGGCATTTAAGCGCCTAACATTGCCCAAGAGCCCGGCAGAGACTGCCACGACCACGGAGAGGTCGTATGGCACTTCGGGCCTGGTGGTATACGACCACCGTGTGGTCGTATGGCACTTGGGGACTAGTCGTATACGACCACCGTGTGGCCTACGACCACCGTGTGGTCGTATGGCATTTAGGACCTTCAGTTATACGACCACCATGTGGTCGTACCTTTCATGGTACCAAGTGCCATACGACCACACGGTGGTCGTAGGTGGATGTCGTTGAGTGCCATACGACCACACGGTGGTCGTATACCCCCAGTCCCTGAGTGCCATACGACCACAAGTTGGTCGTATAACTACAGTCCCCATGTGCCATACGACCACTCCGAGGTCGGGGTAAGTCGCGGCAAGGTTCCCTGCAAGAAATACTGCCCGTTCGTGCCAAATGACCACATAGAGGTCGTAAGCCCTGTGTCTTTGAAATGCCATACGACCATCATGTTGTCGTCCAATACAAAGCCTTGAGTGCCATATGGACACCCACCGGTCGTATCTTTATCTCCGATCCACAGGCCAAAGGAGGGGTTTTGATTGTCTACCCGAGACACCCCTAGGCCAGACATATTTTTGGTCTAGCATCAACCCCCAGGGTTTGAGAAATTAAAACTTAAAATTAGCTCTTTGGAAACATGGTGGTCGTGTGGCATTGAACGTGTTAATTTACAAGTTTCCATTTTCATTTTTTTGAAAAGACATTTATGTTCACAGTCTATTAATTTTGTTTAAAAAATTTGCAGGTTGGCCCAGAAACTGGTACTGATAAAGTTAAAAAAGGGGGTTCATACATGTGCCACAAGAGTTATTGTTTTCGATATCGTTGTGCTGCTAGGAGTCAAAATACACCTGACAGCACTGCAGGCAATTTAGGATTTAGATGTGCTGCAAACACAATACCAGAATCAGCTGATACAACATCAGTAGTAAGAGATGAACTGTGATATACTATTTTAGATTATAAAAAAATAAAGAAGTCTTTTGGAGTTGCAATTTCATTGGTATCTACATTATGCCATCTTTCTCTTTTACAAGCTCTGTGAGCATTAAGCAGAAAAATGTTTCTTTTAATTTGAACAAAGAAAAAAAAACACAAACAAAAACATAACATCAGCAAACACAAACATTCAAGTAATATCGAATCATTTTGCTAAGGGATGAGAGTTGATACAGTTCAGCTAATGACACTAGTTTTCAATTGAATGTTAATAATATATCAACCTGTAACTAATGCTAATTCTAATAACTTTCTTTAGAGAAGCTTCAGTCAAGCAGTTTTCTGCTCATAAAATGAAATACATTAAGATAGGCTCACTTCAGCACAACCACACACAAGCCATGTTCCAACTAAGGCACAGGCCAAAAAGAGTTTTTGCAGAGGTTTTAAAAATTTATACAAGGCTCAAATCAAACGGAAGAAACCCCTTGCAGCAGTTAGCCCCACAGTAACAAGCCTTTTTTTCATAGCTATTTGCCTCATTTATCTGAGGAACCAAAGACCCGCCTGAATAATCATAAGTAATTTCTTCCCCTGGCACAATATTCTTTTTAGCAAATATTCCAAGTCTAGGAACTGGAGAATTTATTCGTACAGGAACTATGCCTGAATTTGGATCACAGCTATGATTTATGTACCTTCCTATGTTGCCAATAAGAGATGGATCTACAACAGTCTCAATCACAGATGTGCTTTCAGAGAAATTAATCACTTCCCTCAAGACAAAAATGTAATTCATTTTTTTTTCAGCATATAAAGCTTTGAACCTGCACTTTGCTTCACTCAATCCTATTATTTCTCCAGCATATTCACAAATAAATGCTCCTTTTGGAATGAAATCTTGAGATTTAAGGCCATATCCTTTTTGAGGACCACATTCGAATATCTCTAGGTTTTTCCTGGGTCCAAATTGAACAACTCTATTTGAACAGTGTAGGATTGAGCAGTGACATTGAGAATTACATTCAACAATGCCAGAGGAATCCCACTTTTCATCAACCAACTTTTTATCAGATGTATAGTTTGGTTGGCAGACATGAGCAGTCTGACAGCTAGTGGCAGAAAGGCAGATCTCTTCACCAGAGCAGTCACAACCCAACAACTGATTGTCAAGGTCCATCAGACTTGCTCCCCTTCCTGGCACAAGTGTGGGAGAATAAATAAGACCTGGTTGTGGGTGATCATAATCATCCATTAAAAAACATGAGTCAGAGTCATCGTCCATGGTAAAGGATTACAAATTTCTCTGGAGATATTTTTACATCACAATCACATTGGCACTTCAGTATATTGGTAAATTAAGTACGTACTTGTACTCAACTTGCACCAATAGTAATAATTTTAAAATAGGTTAAAAACAACACTACAGGAAAACAAAATATCAAGATCAAACATGACTTTGACAACAAAGAGCTATTTAATCGTTTTAAAGGAAGACGGGGATTATAAAACAAAACATATTCATACGGGTATTAGGTAACGCAAAGAGTGACTTACATAACAAATCTTTTTCATTAATCCCTCACTTCGGCCCAACAGCCTTATACTAATACTAAATTAATATCAGAGGTGGCGATGATAAAGTATCATGTGTTAACCAACACTACTTCATGGCTGAAACAAAAAAATTAACAAGTTCATATTTTCAGAAAATAGGTGGTGGACCAAAACATTAGAAACCAGGCATAGTCTTGCATATATAAACATGAAAGGTTTTCCATACCTCACCAACACTATCGGCGAAAGTAGTTGGTGGCGGATGAAGCAAACGACATAATTCCATTTACTGACGGAATATTTCGTCGTATAGGACTAATTCGGGTTACACCATAGATAACTAAGCCCCAAAACGATGCTCTTATAGTGAAGCTCAAAGCTCGTGTAGTTAAAGATGGCTTTGGAATTCTGAAAGAATGGTGGGTGAAAAATTGTTTGCAGAATAACTGCATAACATTGGGAATGTAAATTCAAACATCTACTAATACTTACTGTGATATGGGTATGACTTCTTCTGAAGACACTTTACCCCACTTCTCAATTATACCCTTCATATGACCAATACCAACAACACCAACCACCCTACATGGGACATGGTTATCTGGTGGAATAGACACAAATTAATACACTTTGCTACTGAATAAAAGGTCAAATATATGGAGAGAAAAAACAGATTCAACTAACTCTTTTCATCCACTTGAACTTGCATGGCTGCCAGTTGAAGAGAATGAGCCATGTATATGTCACGTTCATCAAGAAAAACATGCCTCACAGCTGGTAACTTTTCTGCCATCTCATCCAGAAGGTCATCAAGCATGCCATGATTTTTCATTTTCTCTATTTCTTCCTTTGTGATACTGGCATTATCACTCAACAAGCTGAACACGAGCTTTATTAAATCCCACCATGACAAAGAAGCAATAACTCGTCGCAAAGTAGTTCCTAGTGGTCTGTCACCTAGGTGAATCATGCACTTTGGGATTTTTGCAGCCTGAAAATATATTTTTAAAACTAGTTAAGGCCAAAAACAAATAAATGAAGAACTTCTTTGAAAAATTAAAAAGAAGAAAGGAACCTCAGTTGCAGCACGCCGAAATTCCAGGCCAGGTGCTGTACCAACTTGTTCAGCAATTTGGGCTGAAGTGTTGTGAAGAAATGCAAACAAGAGACCTCCTAACAGCCCATTGGTTCGAATTAGTTGTTTAATTTTTGCCAGATTTAAGTTCTTGGTCTCTGCTAGTAATGTGGCTTCATCAAGGTGCAAGTAAAAGTAACGTGATGGACATAACTCCACAAACACAATATGAGGCTGAACAGCTTGAATAACCTGTGACACATTAAAAATATGTAGCACAGTAAAGAGAGATTACTTTATCCCCTTTTTTAGTGTGAAATATATCCAATAATAAATATAGTTTACCTGAGAGACATCATCACAGCTTTTAGAGCTGAAGTGAACTGAACCAATGAGGTAAACCTGTGCTCCATCATATGACGGAAGAAGTGCAACCGTATGAGGGAAAACTTTACCAGTGTATTCATCAAACCAGTATCCCTCTTTGACAGAGCTACTTTCGCTTGTCTGTGGTTCATCTGGTTTCCCTAAAAATAAGATACCAATAATTGCTAACATTTCCTAAAGAAATAAAGAAGTTTTCAAATAACACTCCTCTAGGTAGCTCACCAGAACTAATTTCATATTCTGGTTTGTCAGGTGACATATATGCAGATGGAGGTTTATCACTCACACTTGTGTCCAAATCAGAACCTACATCTGTAAGATCGCCTTGAATAAGACACATTTAAGGATTATCAGGATTATAAGGATAAGGATATGGTCTTGGCTGGTATTAAAAAAGGTGTGGCAGCAAGAAAAAGAAACAAAATATTGACTCTTACTTGCAAGATCATCGCCTTCCCCAACGCTACTTGTCCCATCTGGACTTTCTCTTATAGTTGATTGACTTCTTGTTGATGAAAAAGAGTTATCAAAAAGAGAAGATTGTTCGCCAATAGAGAGAGCAGCAGAGTTGTCAAGACTGATACTACTTGGCTTTTTAACAGTGGGAGTAATTCCTGAAAGGGCCAACAATTTGAAAATGAGGAGCCCCCAAATAATAAAAGCTTAAACATTAATGCTTATATGTCAAGAGTATGCCTGGCTTAAGAGATAATGGTAAAGCATTTTTCTTACCCTTTTCAGCATCAATAAGTGATGTGTTCATATTCAGTGAGTCTTCGAATGAGCCGTCAATAACCAAGGTAGTGTCAGGAGTATTATAAACTGATACTTCATTGTCTGTGGACACATTCATATTTGCAAAGTCTGCCATGATATTTGTTAAGTCTTATGACACAATATCCAAATATCTGCAACAAGGGACATTACATATAGACGTATTGCACAAATAAGGGTCACCAAAGTTAAAGAGGGTCAATTAACCTAAAGAATGCTGTTCGTTCAGGGTAGTCAAACAGAATGATAAAATAACAATATTTATTACGAGAATAAATCAGCATTTTGTAATAAATTATGCTAGAGTTTAAAATCTTTAAGTATATGAGCTTGATACAACCCGTATGGTCAGCATCTATATGTCAGAAAGAGTGGGCTGTGTAGAAAAAATAGGATGGTTATATACTTACATGCAAAACACAATGGATAAACTTATTTCACCACTTGACGACTAGTTAAAAATGAGTAAAAGGACATTCCACAGTTATCACAAAATCTTGCAAACCAATCCAACAGGAAAAGGTTAGATACACAGCATAAACACGATACACATGTACATGTCAGCAGAACGACAAATAAACAAAGAAATTATTGGAATAAGAAAAGGTCTGTTACGTTACGATAGCCTTTGCTAGAGGGCCGTGCTCGGAGCTGCGAATAATGTTCGGGTGGGGG